GCGGAAGAGTCCTGGGACATGTTGTCGACGCTGTTTGCCATGCCAGTTTGTTGCAGTTTCCGGGCACTGCATCAGAGAGCAGAGCAAACCCTCCCTCAACAGGAGCTGCAAGCTGGTCTGCAGCTTGAGAAAAAGCAATTGCTCTATAAACCAGTTTCCCCTACCCACCTCCTGCTAAACTCACGTTGAATTATGCAAATTACCGGCAAACCACACAATCTGTTACAAGTACATACATATTTTCTTGCAGGACATCACACAGCCATAACAAGCTTTTAACTGTAAATACAGAAAAGACAGCGCAGTCGCACAGCAGAGCTGCAGAGCACTTGCAGCCGCAACAGCCATCATCCAGTATTTGCAGATCACCGAATTGGAAACACGTAAGCCACTGACTGATCACCAACTTTACGTGCAGCAGGCACCGCAATAAACAAAAAGCCTTGGCACAAGCTAAAGCAATTTCTAATTTCATTCCATGAACGCTTATCAGAAGCTATTCAACAGGGCTACGGCGTTATGCCAGCCTGAGGCCTGGAGACAGACGTTCCAGGTTAGGTTGTATTTTGTATCGCGTGCCAAGCCCAGAATCTTCCAGTAACATATTAAGCAACACATTTCAGTTTGTCACTTTTCAAAAATTCACCGTGCAAAAAGCATTATGGCATAAAATGGCAGCCTGCTTCACTGTCTCACAGACCTCGCTCGCTCAACTCGGGAATCAGCTATGAACAACCACAAAAGAGAAGACTGCCTGCTTCTCCCAGGAAGAGGCAGAAGGTCAGAACAAGGCTCTGGCCAAACGCTCCCTTCCCTTGCGGAAGCAGCACCACCCTGCGTCCGTGTTCAGCAAGTCCATTTAATTGTGGCAGCGTAGGCTAACAGTAATTGAATAAAGTGCCACAGTTGCACAGAATTCTTTAACAAGTCAGACAAGTTAACAGCCACTGTGAGAATGAATTGTTGTTAACCGATAAGACAATTTCTTCGGTACTGAAGGACAGAGCAAAAAACGGGTCGCCTTTCTAGGAAAATTTAAAGGAAACAGGTTGCTACTTTCACACACGTTCTCTAAAGTCAGAATTCTGATGCCACAGGCGCTGCACCAGATTTCCCCATAAAGGCGTGCCTGGAATGCGCAAGTTAGCACATAGGTTCTGGAAGGAAAAGCCAAATTAAATCCTGACCTAAGCCAATAATACTATTTAAAGATGGATAGTAGCATGCCTGCTTTCACCCAAGAAGGACACCCAGTGTGAGCACTGTCACAGCACTGCAGCCAGACAGTGCAATTTGGTGCTGGTGAGAGGAGCACTGCTTTATTCTGCCGTGCCCCCGTGTGGCTGCTAACATCAGTTAAAGCCAAAACCGTGTACAATTCTTGAATCCCTCACAAGGAGGCACTCCCTGTGAGAAGAGTTCCTTTGTTCTGTTTCTTTTTAGCATGGCACCACGGTATACTAGTTAAGGGTGAATCCAAGACAAGAAACAACAGTAACTACGCTATCAGGTTTTCACTATTGAGTGCATCTTCTGCTCTGCGCTACACCTCAAGTTATTGCGACTGTGAAATTTCCACACTGTTACTCCAGAGTCACGGCGCCTGCAGATAAATGCATGCTGCTCAGTCTTCCCTGGATTTGTCTTTCCTGTTGGGGGGGGGCAGGATGATAACATTAAACACGCGTGCACACACACCCCTCACTAACTTTTCTATTCCAAAGAGAAACCCCACAACATTTTAGAAGTCAAAATACATAACCTTAGTCTGACAGAACGAAGCATAAGGTTTTCAAGTCCTCTGCTTTGCACTGATGCATTTCAAGCAATGCTTTTTTGTAAAACGTTAGCAGTTGCCAGGAATTACTTCTCAGCAGAGGCCTTTAATGCACATCAGGGAGAATTCAAGCAGAGAAGGGAGTACGTCATTGAAGGTGAGGAGGAGAAGATGCCTCAGAGATCTTTAGGAATTTATGTTCAAGAAACACTTGCACACATGCTCCATGCTTTCCATTTACATTGCCAAAAAGCTGCAAGACAACTCTCACCTGAGTTCTGGTCAATCCACTGCAAGGAATCCATGTGTGCATTCAAAATTTTACAGATCTGCTGAAGCTGAGCAGGAAGAGAAGGTGCAAGTCATTTGTTACAGTACATAAAAACTAAGAGCAGTAAAGGACAGCCTGCCTGTCCCTGCCTTTGCAACATGATGCAATCAAATTTCTCATAGTTACAGCTCCACTAACTTAACAGCCGCTTTCCCGGGGAAGTCTGTGCAGCAACCGTGTTGCTTTGCTTCTCTTCACCACCAAGAAAACAGACTGGTTTATTCCAGTTCAGACCTACAAACCACCAAGACATGAATCACCTTGGGCTTGAGGTGGCAAAAGTAAAAAGGAATGGGAAAAAACTCAGTCCGCAATACTGAAGGGAAATTTTTACTGAAAAAAAGCTGCTCAGAAAAGCCACGCGGAATACCAAGGTCAATTTCATACATATCAGAAAGAGCTGGCAATTCAGGTCTTGTTTCCATGAGGATACAAAAGTAGTATAAGGAAAAAGAATCAGCAGCTAGGAGGGTATTCTGAACAAAATTTAGATTTGCCACAAGAAAGATGCAAGCAGTGGAGCAGGTGGCCGGATCAACATTAAGAAATGCCTCTGAAAAAAGTTGTAATCCAGGCAAAAATCAGACAACAAGCAAATAACCAGAGTTCATACCAGAATGAGGCACTTCGACAACTATTAACAGAACTGCAGAGCCAGTACGCGACTCAGGATGGCTTGTGCTGTGTTATAATGCAAGTTTTACCAGAAGAGAACCAACCCCAGGACAAAACAAAATACCCTTCCAAGGCTGAAACTACAAGCCGCAGAGTATCCACGAGCGGACAAACAAAAGAGTTACAATATCTGTTTAAATATCCCTTGCCTCTTTACCAACTAACAAAAAAATAAAGCTTGGATTTACCGGGTCACTTGTGTCTGCTGGGCCTCTTGATGTATTCAAGTGCTCAGTGATGTCCTTCAGGTCTTGTGCCATACGCTTCAGCTGCGCATCTATGTTTTCAGCCAGTTTATAGCTGCAAAACACATGGGAACCAAGGTCAGAATATTTAAAGAGAACTCCAGAAAACCTGCTCCCAGTCACACCAACTCTGGGCAGTCAGAATTAGCTTCCACGCCTTTCAACCAAGGCTGGCAGATACGTGGCAACAGCACCATGAGAGGCATTCTGTCACACAGATGAAGTAACTCCTAATCTCTCTCTCTCTTGACAGACACATGGAGACAGACAAGCAATAGTTTGGAGGGCTTTCTGGAAGGTTTGGTACGAACGGAAAGAACCAGCTAGTCCGCGTTCTTCAAGGTTCCTCTCTCTCGAACCAGACAAACTACTTCTTTAAGTACCCTGCTACGATTCAACACTTAAGGCTTACAAGGAGGCTTGAGCCACGCATAGTGCATTCTGCTCTCATCACTTTATCACTAAGTAATCACTAGTTTCCAGAGATTATGCCAAAATTAGTATTTTCCCAGACAGCTGATTAGACCAACATCCAAAGAGCTTTTCCTGCTG